TGGACTCGATGATCTTCCAAGGTCCTTTCCAGCCCTAACGTATATGAAATCTATTAAATAAGTGTGTTTAAAGGAGTACCTGTGCTAAAACTAGCAGCTTTGAAAAAAGTAAAATACATCATTTCTGAGTGAACCAAGTCTATGGGTACTATATACAGATTTCTACAGCTAAATGTATTTCAAGTTCAGCTTTTTCAAATTTGTTCCTCACTTCCATGTGCTCAGGGAGGGCAGGGTCTGGTAGTAAGAAGTGGGGAAGGGACTACAGGGGAACGAATTGAAGTGGTGGTCTACTGGACTCCACAAATTTATTTTTCCCTGCTGTAGCAGTGGGAGGTGGCAAATTCAAAACAAACCTCCAATAATTAGATTGTATACCTAGAAAATGTTATCACATTTTAGGAATTTTCCATATAAGGAATCTAATTATTGGGGGTTGTCTTATAATCAGAGTAAGCAGTGAATTCTCCAACTTCTAGCTTCAAATCAAGCCTAGATACCTTTTTGTAAGATAGGTATTATCCAAGCATAATATATACTTTAGTCAAATTATTTGGCACAGTATAGAGTTAGGTGGGAGAAATGTAATAGCATTATGTCTAGGGGATGAGACTTGATTATTCAATGATCCTTTGTGATGTGATACTCCATTCATTATCATTGATGCATTTCACTCAGATCTAGTGACAGCATGATCCAGCCTTTCTTCCAGAATCCTAATTTGAGAAATGAAATTGTGGAAGCATCATTTTTTTTCTGTGTGCCTTTTTTATGTGGGTTTATTTTTTATAGTTGAATTTTGAGTGTAATATGAAAAGGTGCTGAATGGTCACATAACTTACAGATTTCTCTTGTATATTTAGAGAACAGGTATAACAAAAACTCTCCCTGACATTCTGCTGCTTGGTTATGCATGAAAGCTAGAAGCTTAAATAAGAAAATAGTTTGGCCTCCTTTGTTAGGTTATTTGCAAATAACTTTACTTTTCTTGCTGATCTTTCCAGAAAGAAAAAGTTGTGATTATTTTTTATTTGCACCAAACTGAGAATATCAGATTATTTTATATAAACTATACTATAGATAGGACTGGTCAACAGCTATTTTGTTAGAAAAGAAAACTATCAATAAAAATGTAATCTTGTACAATATAATTTGAATTAAGTGTTGCTGTGGAGGTAACATGTTTTTTCCCACCATCTTTAAGAAATCTTTAATAATAGTCATTGTTGATACAAAGGTATAATTGGAATCTACAAGTATAGTTGGAGCCTGCAGATTACTTATGAAATAATAATAATTAAAAAAGGTTTGTATGCAAGGTTTTTTTATTCACTGTATTCTGTTCCCCCCCAGGATGAAGAAAAGCTTAAAACTAGTATCTGTACATTTTTATCAGTGCTGTCACACTTCAATGTTATTCTTCAGAATACCTCGGAGAAGGTAAATTCAAATGTCTAAGAACTTAAATAAAAAAAATTAAAGGGACTTTTCAGTTGCATTTTATAGGCATCCTCTTTTAACAAATACACTTTCTGCAGCAGGATCTTGGAAATGTTTTTTCTTCCTCCTAGTAATTTATTCAGTTTCTGTATTGCTATGGCAAGCCATTCATTTATTTCCTTGTGGTTTTTGTCCCATAACTAACTTTCCTGAAATCATCTAAACCAGGGGTGGTCAAAGTACAGCTTGTGGGCCAAATTCGACCCACCAGCAGATTATATCTGGCTTGTA